TCAGTTTTCTACTTATGAATATTCATGTTTTCCCAGGATGATTTAACATACATCATGCTTTCTGCACTGCACTGCTTTTGTGTCTTAATCAAATACCTGGCTGTCTAGATATATGATCTACTGATTAACGTAGCTTTTTGAATCTTGAAATCAGGAACTACTTCTTCTAGAACTTTGAAAACTGCCTTGGCTACTTTAGGTAATTTACATTTCAATTTAAGTTTTAGAATGTTTTTTCAGTTATAACAAAAAAATCATGCTGGGATATGAAAAGGGGTTATATTGAATTTGCAGTCATTATGGGGGGAACGGACACCTGAATAGTACTGAATTTTCTGACATTCCTGTGGTACAGCTCTAGTGACCTGGGTTTTCTTTTCTTTTTCTCAGCAGCATTTAATAGTTCTAAGTGAGGACATCTTTCTTCTTTCTGTTGCTTTTATTTTGCAGTCTTTTGTATATTTATGCAGAGCTCATTGTTGCTACTGTATAGAAACAATTTATTTTTATATATTTTTCATATTGATTCTGTATTCTGCAACATTGCTGAATTCCCTTACTAGGTCTGGTAATGTTTTGTAGGTTCCATTGAGTATTTTATTTAGATACTGAGCATATCTTCCGTGCAAAAATGATTTTATTTCTACCTTTAAAATCTTGATGCTCTTAATTGCCTTTTCTACCTGTTCTATTTCAGTGGTCGTGAACTTCCAATAAAATATTGACTGGAGATAAAGCAGACACTCTGTTTTTATTCCTGATCGGTGAGGAAAGCCCTGGTTTATCATTCAACATTGTTAGCTGTGGTTTTTCACATAAACATACTAAACTAGACTGAAAAATTTCCCTTCCAACCTTACTTAGCTGGTGTTGTGGAAAATCTTGTGACTGAGTTTGCCTTTTGCCTTACATACCTATCATGCTGGAATACATTGCTTCTAATGGGGCATCTGGCCCGCTAGATTGTAATAGGTTACTAGTCTGCCACGCTAATAAGGGATCCTATACGCTGTGTTGTGACTGGACTATTACCCTTATATAAGCCCGTACTTTCTTGCAATAAAGCAGATCTGTGTCACTGAACCTGGTCTCCTGCGCCTGAATGAGGCAACACTGGCACACACTCCTCACCAGCCCTGGGGTCCGGACCGGACGACTGATCGGAGGAACTAAGAGAGCAGGAGAGCGGCCATAGCCGGAGGAGAGCAGCCACAGCAGGCGACCACAAGCTGGGAAATTTTTAGAAAGAATGGCTGCTATATTTTTCAGAAGCTTTTATTCACCCAACCGCTAATATCATTGTCTTAATTTGTTTGTGATGGTATAATAAAACACCAGAAGCATAGTAGCTTATCAGTGCTGGGAGGAACGACAACTCTGCTCATACATGGTACCTGGTGGCTGTGACCTCACATGGTAGTAGAGGGGGATGTGTGCTGGGTCCTCTTTAATTGGCCACTAATCCCAATCCTGAGGATTCCACTTTCATGATGCATGATGGGAAATCAAAGGTCCTGTCTCCTAATATCTCTGATAGGTGTCAACATGGGAATTCTGAGGACATAGCCATTCGGACTACAGAAGCACTTGTATTTCCAAAGAGCTACCGTTGTGTTTTATGGAATACATTGTACCCTATAGATTTAAGGACATCTCAGATTGCAATTGGGCTCGCCTACTTACACCCTCTCCCCACTGAACTCTTTTCAAAGACCATAGGCCAATAAGCACTTGGGTTTTCCTTCAAAATCTCCTCAAAGCTTAACTCAGAAATTTCATGTGACTAGCAGTTCATCGATGTGGTTCATGACATAAATTACTTCTCTGGTTTGATAATCCTTTTGCTGTCAAATTCAGTACCCACATACCCTTACTAAATTTTCACAAATTTCTTTGACATAACTAGCCCATGTAATTAGAGTCTTTACTAATAATGTTGGAATTGGAAACTGCTTTGCTTATTTTCCAGCATAGCAGCCACTACTGGGAGGCAGAAGGGTGAGTGCGGGGAGGTGTGTGTGCTATTCCGTGCATTCTTCATGCTTTGCTATTTGTTTCTGGTACTAGGAACTGAACCTAGTGCCTCACATACACTAAGAAAGTACTCTGCCAGTGAGCTATAGCCCTAGCCCTCTTTTAACCTTTATTAATTTTATGTGTATTGCCTGCATGTGTTTAAGTGCACCTGTAGTATACAGTGCCCACAAAGGTCAAAAGAGGGCATCGGATCCCCTGGAACTGGAGGACAGCTGTCAGTCACCATGTGGGTGCTGGGAACTGAACCTGGGTCCTCTGCAAGAGCAGCCAGTGCCTCTTAACTGCTGAGCATCTCTCCAGCCCCTTGATAGCATTTTTGCCTGTGAAATACTTCCACAATCACAAGGAAACAGAGAGGGCTGATAACAGAGGAAAAGATGGTGGATGGAATATAGGCCTGCACATGCAAAATTTTAAACTGCATTAGAATGTTTTAAGTAAGTATTCAAGGCATTAGATTTCAGTATGGAAGCAAATGTAACCTTAAGTGGCAAAAAGAAAAAAAGACTGTGGGCTAAATTACTTCTTAAAACTATTTACATGACCATTTCCTATTTGATACCTTTATTTTCTTTGTGCAAATTTTTAAAATTTTAGTTAGTTACCTAAATAAACTTCTGCCAGAAACCAGGAAGAGACCATTAATCTTGTCTGCCAAGAAGGAAGCTAAATTAGGAATTGAAATGTCCTTCCTCAAAGCAACAATCAGGTGAACATAGCAAGCAGTCTGCTAAACCATATCCTCCAATCTAAACTGGCCAACGAAAGCTGTGCGCTGAATAGTAATGCCTCAGATTCTTGATTTGACAATGCCACCTTTGGAGCATTGCATTTTGTGTAATGAATTTGAGTAACGTAAAAATAATCTTGTTAGAAGTTCAAAATTTCTCTCAAGAAAATAGATGGAGATTTTAATACCTAAATCCTTTTCATCTTGGCATATTACAGAGAGAAGTCTTGGAAATGAAATGTGCTTTTGTAATGCCTTTAATCCTGCTCAGTCCATACTAGTATGAGAGCTGGCCAAAGAACTGGGTAGTGAACTGTGGCCTGCTGGGCACAGACTCTCTATTGCGTCAACTCACTACAGCATGTGATCATGGCAAAGTAGGAATCTGCAGTAATATTTTCTTTGCTCCAGCCAACTTTTAATCTAAACGTTTGGGGCTAACTCAGCAGTCATATGATGCATCTGCTTGCTTCTGACTAACAAGTCAGTCAAGAAAAGAGCTGCGTTGCCCAACTATTAGATAAGTTATTTGGAAAAGGAAAAAAACATTTGTCTATGAATTTGTGGGTGAAGTGTTTCCAAGAAGAAATTATAAATGGGTCCTATTTTAGTTCTCTATTACGAATGACAGGTTAAACATTTTTACAATCTTAAGAATATAATGACTACATCTTTAAAAGCCTCTAGAGACTATTGTACATTTACAAATGAGAGTAAGTTATTTATCTATAAATTAATCTTCTAAACAGATTTGCACTCCTTTCAGTTTGAAAGCTACATTCTGAGTCTCTTCAGCAACTTCATATCTGAAGGGCCTACATCTGTAAAAACATTTCAAATGAAAACACTAAGACAACCCCCAGAGAAGCAAATAGAATGGGCTCTCAGTCTATGTTCGTCTTTGGGCTGCACATTCCTAACACTCATAGGTTCTAACTGGATGCCAGAGGTCATGCAAGAAAATTAGTGAGCAATCTCATTCTGTTCTTTTGGTTTCAGCGAAAAATTCAAGTCATCTATTTCTCATTTAAATTCCATACTTTCTCACTAAGTTATGGAAGCAGAAAGCCCACCAGCCAAGAAGATGCCTAACTGTTCTAGAGTGGGTGGCAGACTAAGTAAGTGCATACTGTAGAGTCTAGGCTCCAAGGCTACAGTTGCCGCAGGCCAAGTATCAGAGATGGGTTCAGATTTTCAAGCCACAGATAAATAGCAATCGCAGGCAGTGCTGAGCCATCTCTAGAGCCCCCTGTATTGGAGTTTTCTTTGGGGGGGGTAACAAAAATATTTTAAATAGTGGTAATGGGTAATGGTGGCATAAACTTGTAAAATCATAAAAAACATGGACTTAATATACTTTAAAGTGATTTTATATGATATATAATATCAAGCAAAAATCACATCAGGGGACTGGCCAAAGGCTCAGAGGGTTAAAGGTGCTTTCTGTGTAAGCTTGGCAACTGAGTTCAATCTCTGAAACCCATGTAACGATGTAAGAACTGCCTCCAGAGTTGTCCTCTGACCTCCAAACACGTGCTGTGCCTACCCCCTCATCTCTGTCTCTCTCTCACACACATGCACATAAATTAAAAAAAAAATCATGTAGCTAGACACAATGGAAGTGAGACCATGCTTTAAAAGCTCACATACAGCTATCAGAATCCTTCCTATAAACTAATGGCTAGGTCATCCATTCCGAAGTGTCCACAGGCTAGCAATATATACTGGAGCAACTTGTGAACTCTTCTTCAATCTGGGGACTATCTGACTGAGGCAGCAAGTAGAGGAGAAAGTCATATGGTCAGACAACTATTACCCCTTCAGTTTGTACAGAGCCCAACACATCCTCAAATTACCCCTAGACAGCCATATCTGCTTTACTGGGGCATCCCTATAAAGGAACTCTAAAAGTTTATAAATAGGGCTCGTTATACCTGGCACACATGATCTTGCTCTCATGTATCACCTTTAGATGTGAAAACCATAGACTGTCTGCAGACTTGTTTGACAGTCTAACACACTCATTTAGCTACTGTGGCCATAGCCCAGGCATCGATAACAATTGAGCAAAGCAAGGTAAATATGTCAAGTGCCATGTACAAATGGGGTGGCTTTTGCTGAGAGACTGAAAAGACTGTTAAAAACTCAGATTCTCCTTAAGACCATTTAAAAATGACCTGAAGCAAGAAGAGTCAAAACAGAAATAGACCACTGAAGAACTCAAGGATGTATATAAGTATGATTTTATTTGTCAAATTACAGTAGCCAAAAGATGGCTTTCTAGAAGGCAAAGCACACATACATTTAGAACAGTCCTTTCTGTTTAAGTCTAAGGCCCCCTCTAGTGTTTAAAAAATAACAGGCCTCACATGATGCAAATGAAGGGAACAGTCGGCATTTATTTACCAAGATCTTCCAAAACAAAAAGAATACTTTCACTTCATTTATGTGGCACAAAATCAGAAAATATCGAACCATAATTAATATTTCAAATTCATGCTATGATTATGATTCACTACCATCCGGTCATCCTTCTGATATTACTGTTGGATTGCTCATAGGAGATTAATACTTTGTTAAAGAAAAACAAGCATATGATGCATATAGGGATTCTGATTTCACAAACAGGAAATACACTTTGTTGAAAATAACAGAAAATGAGCATTGCCATATAACTTACTTTGCTTTTATTGAAGCCACTGGTTATTGGTACGTTCCTAAAATATACATGTAACTTTATTATAGCTGGGAATCAAACTTTTTAAACTTTATGTATTTTAGGACTCAACCTAATCTGTAAATTTGCTAATAAACCTTTTCAGTGCCATGTAGGGGCAGTGGGACTATGAGACTCAAGTTGGTTCTGAAGAATACGGTATGAAGGAACTTTTGAAGTTTATACAGATATGGCCCTGCATAAACCCCATGACCTAATCTCAAGTTCTTTTGAAAAAGACTGACTGCATGTGGAGGGAGTAGAAACCAGTTCAGCTTTGCTTTTGTAGCGAAAGCCTTTAGATGTCTCTTTCCACATTCCATTTCTGGGGCTGTAATAGCTTAGTATTTCCATCACTAAGAAATAATGGAAATTTCTCTTTAACAGAAGAAAACCATGCAATCTTGAGGAGACCGTCCTAGAAGACCGAATCAAGCTATCACTTCATGCTCTTAGAAGCTGAGGACAACGAAAATTTGTAATTCATTCATTCTTACATTTAATTTGTGTGAACTGTATTTAAACAAATGACTAACTTGTCACCCAATACGTCACATAGCTTTCTCTGCACTGAGACAGCTTTATTTTCAAATTTGTCATCTGAAAATATCACAAGTTAAGGGGAAAAGACTGGTCATATAAAATGATTTAAAAAATGTCTACATTCGTAATTGCTCCAACTTTAAGGAATCTACAATCAAAGGGAACAGGAACACAGCATCATAAAGTGCAACATACTCTTTTGGCTCATTATGTCACTGACAATTACTGCAGCCATTCCTCCTAGAAAAAGTAGTGAGACGTTCTTAAAGTCAGACAGAGTTCAAACCAAAGAACATTGAAAAGACATTTAAAACGAGTGTACAAAATGCAATTACAAATAAAACTGCACAGGAGAGGTAGCGTAAATAAAATCCAATAAATACTATACAGTAACATACAAAATTCAGCTTATAAAAAATTGAAGAGCATTCTAAAATATTAATTTTCCTTGCTTTTGAGGATTTGACAATGAAATAAAAATTTAGACCTGGAGTCTCTGTACAGGTTTCTCAATGTTATTAATTACTGGCACTATTTTTGGCCAAAACCTCTCTGATCTGTCGGTCCAGTTCACTTATTATTCGGTCTTCATGATCATACACACCCGTTCTCATCAAAGTATCCCTTTCTTCTAGTAGGCGAGTCAAGCAATCATCCAAGCCTTCTTCCCTTGTAGAGCTATGTGGGCCGCACAGCTTTCCACTCACAGAGTCTCTGGAATCCTGGGGCTGTTTTTGTTCTTGTTGCCTTAATCTGAGACGTCAAGAACAAATACACTGTAGCAGTCAAAACACTTTTATTTTTTATTAATTCTTTGAGAATTCATACAATGTATTTTGACCACACTCACCACCCCTTCCTCACCCATTCAAATGTCGTTCTTTAAAAGCCCATTGGGTCCAATTTGTGCTGCCCGTATCTTGGGTTTGGGGTACCTACTGGAGTGTAGGTGACCAAGCAGAGCCCATATCCTTAAAGAATGTGGACTCTCCCTCTCCCAGAAGCCATCAATTGCCAGCAGCGCCTCAGCTAGGGCTGGGACTTCCTGCCTACCTCCTCCCTCTATGCTGGAGTTTCATCCTAAATTCCGCTTTCATAAGCAGTTGAGTCTAAGCTCCTTTTGAAGACAATCTTTGAAGTAAGCAAGCCTATAAATAGCAATTGTCCATGTTTGAATTTTCATACCAAGCAGGGAGAGAAAGGAAGAGATGAGGAGAGCCAGTCCCAGAGAGTACATGACTCCTCTGGAGAGCACATGACTCCTGGCAGGAACAGTCATTTGTTCAAATAGTCCTCTGAAATACAACACACGTAAAATTCCTCATAACAGAAAAGGACTTACATCTACATCTTAAGAAGGATGTCAAGTATCTATCTTCAACTGTTCTCAGAAAAGAAGTCTAAATAGCGAGGGGCACTGTACACTGAGATCTAGGTGTGAAAGCAAATGGCCAAAGATGTGCAGCAAAACATCTCACTGAACCTGTAAATGCATGCAGATGAGCAAGTGGCTATGTCTGAATAGCTGTTTCCTTTACCCAATCCCTGTGTGTGTGTGTGAGTGTGTGAGTGTGTGTGTGTGTGTGTGTGTGTGTTGGCAGGGGTGTGTGTGGGGGGGGGAGTAATGTGTGAACAAGGCTTTGCTTGACACAGGCCCTCTGTTGTCATTCTGCTATGCACCCAGGCTGGCTGGCTGGCAGGCAGGCAGGCTTCTGGGAATTCTGTCTCCTTCCATTTCCCCACAGGAGCAGGAGTACTAGGATCACAGATGTGCTACTGTACCCAGCTTTACTTGTCTACCTGTTCTTGGGATCCAAGCTCAGGTCTTCACACTTGCATGGCAAGCATTTTCACTCATGGAAGCCACCTCCCCAGCCGTACCTACTCCATTCTAGCCACCTAGGATGAAGGGGTCTTCTAGGTAAATTAATGACCCACACTGCCAAGCTATATGTCAATAGCTCTAATCACATCCCTTTTTACATTATCTGTTTATACAAAAAGAACAAATGTGATTTTTTACACAAATGATTATTCCTACCAAGTATTTACTAAAATTGTCATGGTCACAATAGTATTTTAAAACTTGATAGCTAAAGAAGCCCTTACTGGCTAGTCCCACTCCATTGGAAGATGTCAAGGTATCTGATTCCAGTATGTTACATCTTGATAAGAGTAGCTCAGAGATGATTTCTGCAGTGAATACAGAACACTGTTTCTATTACTGTTCCTAACTTCACCACCTCCTTAACTGTCCCTAATTGCACTGACTCGCTTTTGTATGAACTCTGTTTTGACAGGCAAATTCCATCCTCATTTAAGCCACCCAAATGGTGCTAACCACACTGTACATTTTTGGCTTCAGTGCTATATATGAGAGCAAAATTCTGGAAAGAAAGGACCATATCATAATTCATTAATGTATAGTATTTTCCATGTCTGCAACAATGCAGACAACACATATTTGCTGAAAACTCCACATCAAAGATCGTTATCCTGTTTATTTTTCCTATCAATGTAGTGGTGTCAGGTGTTGTCCATTTGTAGCACTGAATGCTTTAATTTCTGTGTGACAATTTCAAGATGACTGCTAATACTGTTAATTCTTTATATGCCTGTCTAAACTTTTGAACATTTTTTAAAGCAACTCACTGAGTAAAGAGAAAGACTTAAATACTTTCTTCAAGATCACACAGCTAATAAATCACAGGGCCTGACTTCAAATCTGATTCCAGAGACAAAGCAGCAGCAAAACAAACCAAAACAACTACAGCAGCTGCACCCTGCCCCATGCATGGCTTTACTTCTGTGGTTTCAACTATTCACAGTAAACTTTGGTCCAAAAGTATCAATAAAAAGTTCTATTAATAAGCAATTCATATTTTTTTTTCTGGTTTCTATGAGATAGGGTCTCCCTATAGCCCCAGCTGGCCTGGAACTCGCTATGAAGACCAGGATGGTCTCAATCTCAGAGCTCTGCACACCCGCCTCTGACACCAGAGTGCTGGGATTAAAGGCATGTGCCACCAAGTCCACCCTCTATACCATTCTTAAGGGCTAAATGTATACTAAATGTATACTAATTCTCTTCAATGAACATTTATTATGCAACTACAATGTTGTAGGCTTGGACAGTGTTATATATTTATGAATTATAACATGATCCCTGCCTTCCAAAATTTTCTGTCCTATATAACAATTTAAAAAGTACTACATGGGGCTAGAGAGATGGCTCTCAGCAGTTAAGCCTAAATTTGGTTTCCAGCACCCACATGGCAGCTCCAACTGTCTGTAACTCCAGTTCCAGAGGATCCGACACTCTCTTCTGGCCTCTGTGAGCACTGCATGCCATGGGTACACTTAAAACATACAGGCAAAATACTCATACACATAAAATAAAAATAAAAAAGTAAAAAATAAAGCCGGGCGTGGTAGCGTATGCCTTTAATCCCAGCACTTGGGAGGCAGAGGCAGGCGGATTTTTGTGAGTTCGAGGCCAGCCTGGTCTACATAGTGAGTTCCAGGACAGCTGGGGCTACAGGGAGACCCTGTCTCAAAAAGACAAAAAAAAAAAAAAAGGTCAATATTATGTGTTATAACACTATTTTGGTAAATGAGGATTTTTATTTACCTATGAAATTTTGTAGATTACACAAAATAAATCTTACTGATGTCTTACACTTTTAAATTCATATATATGTTAAAGTGTATGTATATAATATATAAACATTTTTTACCTTTGAGATGTGGATCTGTACCTTCCTTAGTATAGGGAAGACCAAATTAAAAGGCTATCATGTTAGAATTTTGTATTTACAAGAAAGGGAATAGTACTGTAATGATTGTACCTGTTCAATTCATTTCTTATGTCCAACAATTCTTGCTGCTCAGTTTTTACCATATCTTTTTCCTCAGCAGCTAGGAAGCGCAGTCTCATCTGTTCCAATTCCTCCTGCTGCTTTTTAAGGCGAGCCATTTGACTCTCTTGTTCCTTCTTAAAAGAAACAAAGAAGTCAGACATATAACATCAGGAATATGTACATTTCCTACAATCCTGACTTGTGACTGTAAGTCATTTGATAATGCCAGTGACAGAACCATATGCTGCCAATTCTGGGCCATATGAAATCCAGAACTTCCTAAATTTTCTCCCAAGATTCTTTCTTGTACTTCCTTTTTGCTATAATCCATGCCCAACTGATCTAGCTGAGCGTTAGAACGTATGTCCATGCAAAGGCAAAGGCAAGAAAGCAGCCTCAGCACAATGACTTGCCAGAGGGGCTGAAGTTAGGAGCAGCATCTTGAACTGGTCTAACTATAAAACATTAGCAGCTGTCCTTGATCACTAAGCCCAATCCCAGTTCAGTCAATGCAGCTTTCTCCTCTCCAGGCTTATAAAAAACTCTAAGCACATATTTTTTTTTCTTTTTTAAATGAAAATGAAATCAAATGATATACCTTAACTTGCATTAAAAAAAATAAAACTTCAGATGAATAGGTAATATTCCATGACTTATACAGCAAGTGTTGCAACAGACAATCTGTCACAACAAACAATGCTGTAATAAAACACCCTACCATCTAATCAGGGATTCTAAGTGCATTCATATTTCTTTATAGACAAGTGCTCTTCTTTCCTTAGGACAGAACTACAAAGAGGCAGAGTTGAGTCAAGAGGTGGTGTCATCTATTTTTTTTTTTTAAAGCAAATTTATGGCAAATGGAAAAATCACCAAAACACAAAAGTATCTATTGTGAACTATTCACACTTTCCACAGTTAATTACTAACCTGATTATAACAGCACCTGAGTTTTGGCTGGGCTCTATATGGAACTGCATAGAATGTACTACTTTGTGCTGGGCTTCTTTCACCTAACACTGTTGAGATTCATTTGTATTGCTCTGTGTAGTTCATCATTCACAGGATTATAGAGCAGGTCACTGAATCAGTATACGGCTTATTCATTGCACTGCTGAGGGACACTTGAGTAGGTTCCAATTTTGTACTATAAATAGCACTATTAGGATTACTATACATGTCCTCTGAACACATCTGTATGTATTCCAACTGGGAGGTACCTGGGATTCAATTCGCTGGGTCACAAGGTATGAAAATTGCAGGATTAGTAAATACTGCCAAGTAGTCTGCATATAGTCATGTCAATTAATGTTCACTGTGAGAGTTCCAGCTCTCTCTCTACCTTCATAATTTTAATGTTGCATTTCTCCTATTTCATTAATTTTTATTTCCCTTTTTAAAATTCTTTTCTTGAGTGTTTTCCAAGCTCTATTTAGAAGATAGATATTCTTACTTCCTAAATGCAACTATGGCTAAATTTCTAAGCACAATTTTTACCAAATTCAACTCTGATATATTGCATTTTCATTATTTTTCAGTTCAAATATTTTCTAATTTGAAATTAGAAATTTGGGCTCGAATTTACAATGGGTTATTAGAAGCATACTAAGGAAATGTCTCAACATGATTGAATATTACTAATTTCTAGCTTAGTCTGTGTGCAGATCACATTCTAAATTACAATCTTCTGAAATGTACTGAATTGTGGTTTAATCTGGCACATGCACAATTTGGCTTAATGTTTCACGCACATCAATAAATGTCTATTCTGAACTTTTTCAATGAAGGGTTCTACATAGACAATGGTTGTATTCACTCATATAACTGGTGATGTCACCATAAACATATACATGTACACTGTTTTTGTTTCAGGCTTTTGTACCTATCTAGATTGTACGATGAGCATATTCTCCCCCACACAAAGGTTATTTACCTGTTTATAATTATGAAACTGCCTCCAGCATGCTTCTTGTCCTAAAGTCTACTTCCCTGATAATACTGCCTAGGCAGGTCTCTTTTGGCTAGTATTAATATAGTCTTGATTTTTCTCTTTCAAAATTGAACCAGAATACTGTAGCTAAGATGTACCCCTTACATAGTATACTATTAGGCTGTTTCCAATTTAGTTTTTCTTAGAGATTTGTCTTTATGGAAGCATTTAGTCCATTTATATCTAAAGCACTTAGGAGATGTGTGTAGATTTAAATCTTTCCCATCATACTAGTTCCTATGCATTTAATCTGTTTATCTTTTAGATTAACCAACTATTGTATGTCAATTTTCCTCTCTCAAGTTATTTTTTTTACCCCCTTCTTAGATATAAAATGCATTTTTAACAGAACCATAAAAAGGACTGTTGCAATTTTGCATACTTATGCTTTATTACTTCATATTTTTGTACTACTTTGTCATGAATTTTAATTCCATGTGCATTTTCAACTCAAGATTTTTTTCTACACCCAGCATCTACTTGCCTTTAGCCTGGTATGTGATCCCCACCGCCTTTTACTCTCCTGTGTAGTGCTTTCATCTGGGACCATTTCCTTATATCAAAACCCTCAACATTTCATTTACTTCGGGTTTGCTCTGACAAAATCTCTCAACTTCTGTTACTTAGAAGTTTGTCGCTTTATGAAGAACATTTTTGCAGAATTTTACTTTGGCAACTACTTCCTTTCAGTACTTTAAAGTGATGCTATTCTACTCTCCTGCAGAATACTATCTTTTTCTACTTTTGGAAAAATTTCCCTTCAAATACTGCTCTCTCTTCATTCTTTCCTTTCATGAGAGTCTCTCTCTTCAATTACATATGAAGTATCCTGTGTGTATGTGTGGTGTATGTATACCAGTATGTGCTGGCGCAGACGCCAGAGAAGAACACTGGGTGTCTTGCTCTATGGATATCCTCCTTATTCCCTAGAGATGAGGTCTCTCACTGAACCTGGAGCTCCTATTTTTGGTTAGGATGGTGGAAGTAAGCCCCAGTGATCCTGTCTCCACACCCCCTAAACACCCCAGAGCTGGAGCTACAGATGCACACAACCATGCCCAGTGTTTCTGTAGTAGGTGTCAGGATCCAAACTTAGCTCTTCATGCTTGCACAGTAAGTGCTCATCTCCCGGACTTCATCCTTTTTTTTTTTTTTTTTTAAGGGTCTCACGATGCAGCTCTGGCTGGTCTGGGACTCTCTATGTAGACCAGGCTAGCCTAAAACTCATAGAGATCCACCTGCTTCTGCCTCTGGAATGCTGGGATTAATGGTGTGTGCCACATGTTCACTTATTCTATTTTTAAATACTATTTGCTGTAATTACATCTTCAATTTTTTTAATTACATGTAGTTTTTGTGTGTGTATGTGTGCATGTGCCATGGCATGCATGTGGAGGTCAGAGGACAACTTCTGAGAGTCAGTTCTCTCCTTCTGCCTTGTGGATACTGGGGATTGAACGCAGGTCATCATGTTTGCAAGCAAGTGCCTTCCCTACTGAGGTATCTTGTTGGTCCCGTAGCTACTATCTTTTAAAAAATATTTTATTATTTTTATTTTATGTGTATGAGTGTATTGCCTGTATGTATGTAAGTGCACATGGGTCTGGTGTCAGATCCCCTGGAACTGGAGTTATGGACAGTTGTTAGCCACCATGTGGGTGCTGGGAATCCAGGTCCTCTGTAAGAACAGCCAGTGTTCTTAACCACTGAGCCATCTCTCCAGTCCCTGTAGTTACTATCTTTATTTTCCCTTTCCAGTCTGAATAGCTTCTGTTGCCCTTTTTTCTAGTATCTGAGTCCTCATTTCTGTTCATTTCACTTGCAATATTCCAGAATTCCCAAGACTCAGAAATCTGGTTCTGTAGCAAATCTTCCATTACATCCACCTATTTTCTAGAGCATAGCAATTGTATTTTAGGCCTCTTGTCTGAAGACTCCCAAATCTGGATTATTTGCTGATACATTTCTACTGAGCAAAAGACATAAACATGCCTTCCACTGATGAAGGAATGTAGTGGCCAACAAGCATATAAAAAGATGCTCAACATCATTAGTAACTAGGGGAGTGAAAAGTCACAAAATAATACTATTAGAAACTTAACAAACTGAAAATTTTAAGACATCTAACAACAGTCAAGATTGGCAGCGCTGTGAAGAGCTGCTTTTTGTTTTGGTGGTGCTGGGGGTCGAACCTGGGCCTTCCACATACTAGGCAAGTGCTCTACCACTGAGCTACACCTGGCCCTTAGCTACTGGTGGACGTTAAGAACTAGTACAACCATTTTTGTAATAATTAAGCAACATTTAGTGAAGCTTAAAAAATATTGTTTCTAAAATTCCATGGTTTCTAAGAATGTATTCTTGTTTCTAAAATTCCAGTTTTAGAAACAAACATTTGAAAAACTGTTACTTGCGTAAGAAATATTGGCTATCATACTTATAAGGAAAATTATAAAAAGCAATTCCATGAAAGACTATATATAATAACATATATAACTACATTACATAAATGGAGAATTACTACATGCATTTAAAGATGAAAAACAGACAAAAATAAGCTATGTCGTTTACAGAGTTTAAGTTGTTTTTCCTCCAGTACTAGGGATTGAACACAGAGCTGCAAGTGAGCTAGGCAATCAGTTTAGCTCTTTTTACTTTGTCTCTGTGTGTGTGTGTGTCTGTACAGAGAACAGTAGAGGGTACTGATATACTGCTCAACCATTTTCCTCCTTATTCTCTTGACACAGGGCCATTCACTAAGGAAAGTTCTCACTAAATTGCCCAGGGACCTTGGACTTTTAATCTTTATGCCTTATTCTCCCAAGTAGCTGGAATTATGGGTATATGTCATCAGGTCTACTGGATATATTTTAACATATTTTATGTGATACAACTAGAAAGAAAAGCAGATTAATTGTGGGAGACAGGCTTGAGCCTAGGATGAAAGTCTTATTGACAGCCATACAACAGGCCCAAGGCAAATGGCCCGACTGCTGGAGCCACAAGGAACGCCTTGTGACATTTGCTCCCATTGGCAGATCATGAGACTGATGCCTAGAGCTTGCCACTCCCTAATCACCACCCTTGGAATTCCAAATTGCAACACTTAGATATTGCAACATGTGTCACTGAACCTGGTCTCCT